AGACCATTAATGAAACACATAAAAATACCACTGCACTCCAGAAATCTCTTTTGCACCACTCCTTGGCCCACAGCAGATGGCCAGAAACTGCGTGCTTGAAGCAGTGGCCAGGCTGATGCTAGCCCCAAATGTGGACAGCTTCTTTGTCTGGTACCATGAAACTGATCTCAGGTGCCAGCAGCATGTAGAAACACATAGCTTGGTGCAGTCTAACCCATCAGAGTATTTGGCCTCCATGATGGACTTATGCAATATGCATTGAGCTCCATGTTGCTGCTGAACTTACATGCTGCCAACAAAGCTACTTCACTATTCATTTCTGAGGCTAAATTTATGCAAACGTTTTACGTATTTCTTACAATCCCTCCCCATATACCGCAGTTCTGTCCCCCAAATTCCAGTTCACTGACCTCTGGTTGCATTAGTTCTATTTTTTTATTGATCTACTAAGCCCATCAGGTCATGGATGTGATTTCCATTAAAAACCAAACCACAACCAGCATGTTCCAACATGCTGTGTGCAAGCTGGGTAAAGTATGTAATAGTGCAGACACTTTCTAGGTTTGTACATTCATTGGTCTTCAGGTCTTTATCTGACTCTGTAGCATCTGGAAGCAAAGGTTATTTACATCAGCGACTTAACGTAGTTTTAAATATATCACTAAGTTATGGTAAGACAACAGTAGATCAATAACTGGTATCAAATAATTTGAAAACTTAGAAAAATGAGAGTAAATTAAGCATATAATCTAATGAAAAAAATGCAGTTCTTAATTTTTAGTTTGTACCTTGATATTTCAGCAAGTCTGGGGCAGATAGCACATGAATTTATGTGAAAAATATTTAATAAGGGACTTAATGAGTTCTGATTTTACCTGTGGTATTTGCAGACCTGCTATCTGTAGTTTTTGGAAGACACTGGAACAGTTAAGAAGTAATAGATACACCTACATGGCACGATTTAGTGAGTCATGATAGAACTTGAATTAACTCTAAATTGTTTTTCTCAGGTGCAGAAAGAAGTTCAGCACTTGTCCTGGTCTAGCTACCCTTGCTGAGAGTACTGCACTGCTTCAAAATCCCCAACACCTTCACATGGCATCATGCAATATTATATGCTTATAACCAGAAAATAAATTTTTAGGAAGTGATTCTCTGACTACTATTTCTCTGTTGAAGTCCATGAGTACTACCAGATCTCAGCACCTACTGTGGATTAGGTCATGAAGGAAGAAATGTTGACCTCTTTGGCCAGATTTTTAGTATTACTGTAAGACAGCTGTTCTGTGTGTTGAAATGCAAAATAAGAGTGGACTGCATAGGTCCTACATGCAGGTCTGAAATTGCTCATGCTCCTCTCAGCTGGGATGATCATTTGGGGTAATATATTTCTGAGTCATCCAAAGCAAAGCAGTTGTTTATAACGCTTCCAAATTTTGTATTTGCATTTTAATACTGTAGCAAATTTGACTCAGATTTGATCTACACAAAAAACCCTAATGAGAGCTCCCTTAAATTTTTATTTATTAACTTAAAAGGGGTGAAAACCAAATTCTTAGCTCTGAAAATCTTCAAGGTTTGTTGCATTTCCAATGGAGATTTAAATTTTGCAGCAGGATACCAAATTAAATGAGAAAGTAATCAGCTAGTGACCTGCTCTGTTTCATCTATTTAACTTTTTATCAACCTCAGAAAGTTAAATTATTTCATATATATATATATATATATATATATATATATATATTAATGGTGGTGAAGATGGCAGAATCTCTTGTATTTCCATGACTTATGAAAGTAAGTTATTTAAAATTAATATAATTTTTTACAGTGCATTCCTTCCCTCAGCAAAGAATAGATGGACGTTGTTCAATTTTTGGTAGTAAAACTGGCTTCATAGAGGAAATGAGGTTTTTCACTGCAAATGACCTTTTCTGCTCACAACAGTGCTATGAAACTGCCTAAATACAATTATTCATGGATTTTTGGCAGCAGAAAATTTTCTGGACATAAGAGTGAGGGGAATTTATGATTTTAATCTCAAGCCCAACATTTTAAACTGATACCAGAAAGCACTGACTGTTAAGCAGTATCAGGCAAATGTTAGATAGTGAATATCAAATTAGCTCACTGACACAGCACAGATCCTAGTGGACCAGTGTCACATCACAAAACAATGCAGCACTCTGATTTCTCAGCATCAAAGCTAAAAATCTAATGGGCCTATCCATCACCCATGGATACGTGTGGACTGACACTCTGCTGCTGTGCTGCTTTGCTCCTGCCCAGCACTGAAACATGGCTCCCAGGTGCTGCCTGACTCTAGACTGCTGCTTTTCCCAAGCAACTCCACAAAGCTGGCCGTTTCCCCCTGCATAACTGCTGCTTTATGCACACTTTAAACCTGAAGATCTGTAGCTTCCTTGTGGGAGATTTTTCTGGCCCTTCCCAAGAAAATCTTTCAAGTCTTCTCTATCTGTTGGTCCCATGTGGTCTGTATTCCTGCTTTATTATTTACTGACCCTCTGAAACTATGAGATAAATGGATCTGGCAGATACTTTTCCGTAGAGCTTTTCTTTCCTCACTCCCTTCCCCTTCCCTCTCCTGTCTTCCATGTAAAGAGTGAGAGACTGGATCTGCTGATGTTCATTGTACTTTGAAGTTCATGGAACTTTGAAGTTTATACTCATGGAAATCAACATGGGCAAGGTGTCTTACTGGTGTAAGCTGCCCATCTACTGTTATTATCTCTTTCTGAAAAATATGCCTTTTAATTATTCTTACAAAATCCCTACACAATAGGAACATGACCTACATAAAATTGGACAAGCTTAAAATACAAGTTTAGCTTCAAGGATACCATCACTATCATGTCAACACCATCATTAAAGCCTGAAAATGTAGTCTATTGGTAAAGCCATCATTTAAGTTGCAAGTATAGTCTATTGGTAAAACTAAATTTTCTTTGTACTTTCTTTGTCATGATTTAAAAATTATTCTGCATGGACCAAGATCGTTTGAGTCTTTTTCTAAGCCTCTCACTAAAATGTGGAGGAAAAGTATCCAGTACTAGCTAAACAGTACATATTATACAGTAAATGAGCATGCCTGACAAACGGAAAGGGCCATCTGTGATAAGGACAAGATAAGTTTCAGTCAGAAGATGACTGAGTGGGAGTAAATCTTTCTTCAACATCTGTTTGGCTTGTTTGGATTAATCCTCTCCAATTATTCTGTACTGTCTCTCCAGGGAGGATGGATGGGTGGAGAAGTGTGTTCCAAAATCAAAGTGATTGATCTCATGCATGCAGGAGTTTGAAAGGTCAGCTCAGTGAAAGGGAGACTCATGAGAATATGACTAACTGAGCTCGATTTTGTGTATACTGAGTTTGAGGGAAAACTACATGCTGGGTCCTTCGTCTTTCCTTTGCGGCAGTAGGTGACACAGCCACAGTAGGTGATAAAGTGATGGAATATTCCATCCCATATTCTCATCACTATCTCTAGGGCAGTTGCCTTGGATGGGCACGTGGCAGCCAAACAGATCTCACAGCAGTTGGCTGCCCACCAGTGTTTTGAATAGGTGATTTTCTGTACATTCACACACTGTCCTAGAGGTTATTGCTATTACTTCACATCTTTATTACGCTAGTTCTTAAAGGGTCTGCGTTGATACATCTCAACAACGTGGACAGGAGAATTTACAGATACCAAGGACATTCTCTGCTTGTGTTTATTGATGGTATTCTCTTTCTTCCAGTAAATCCCTCTAACCGTGCACTCTGAAAATCTCACAGAGTAGCCAGCTTAATGAACCTCTAATTTAAATTAATTGATAAATGAATAAAAATTATGTTGTTCACCTATAGTTTCTTAAGGAATACAGAAGAAGTAATCCATCTTCTATAGTACAAACATATTTTTATATAAAGACCTAGTCCAAAATCTTGTAATTTAATCAGATGTGTACTTCCACCTGTGTCATAAGCTTCTCTCAACAGAGTACTTCAGCAGTAAGTGAAGTGCCTTGTGGGATCTCCAAACCAGCAATTTTTCTAGCACACCCTTAAAATGGAAGACTGCTTTTATGCATCACCTCCAGGGTCACATATTTGGAAATATGCACAAGCCAAGAAGGTAAAGAAGCCATTTGTGAACTCTGTCTCTCTTGAGTGTTGTGTGGAGAGCCTCTCACTACCTATGGCAAATGCCTACCACTGATGTGAATGTGAATCAATGTATCTAAAATGCCAGACCTCTCTGCATACAAGAGCTTGGACCCCCAGACAACTGTTCAGTATAAGACAGGATAACACTGCAATAATTAATGAGCCAAAACCTCTTTTAGTCTCCAAGTTCTTTGCTTTGAAGTCTCAGCAAAATGCTGAGGGTCTGATTTTGCATGTATAAATCTGACAAGATTTGTAACAAGTTCTTGATGACTTTGGATTTACAGATTCAGCCACTTGATTTAAGTTTTTGAAAACTGTCTAAATCCTTGGAGTGGTAATGAATTATGATGAGAAATTATTTCTTTAAAATGCAGGAAATAACTATGTTTAAATGCATGAATGCCTGCAGGGTAAATTTTTTTGCTTGGCTTCTGAGGTTTAGAGATTTTTTTTCCTGAAAAATAGTCACAGTCAGTACAAGAGACTAGAAGTTTTATGGCCATAACAAAATCTTAAACTCTGGCAGCAATTCCATTTATTGAGTAAAACATAAAGAAGTGTTCAATTGTCTATTGCCATAGTCCTCAGAGAACTAGGAAACAGAAGTAATAGATAATCTTTTGGGCTGCAGTTTAAAGTAGCCTATGCAATTTAGTTTTTATTTTGCTTGTTTGTTTTTCCTCTTTTTTTCTTTCAAGTGTAAAAAGTGGTGCATTACCTAAACAGATGTAAAGCCTGTGTACAAGTGAGTTTTATCAGCTGGTGGGGTTATTGATATTTCACTATTGCAGGTCTTAGAACCTGCAACATGTTTTATCATTCTCTTCCAGTAAATCAAGCCATGGTATTTCTGGAAACATTACTTTGTGGAGCAGAGGAGGAAAGTACCTCTCTGTTTTCACCTTTCTATTTTCCATCCTGATCTTCTGACAGGTGAGGTTTGCTCTCTGAGGAGCCCATCAGTGCTAACTCAGGTGAACAGATGGCTGCAGATCTATGTGAAATGTTCCTTTATTTGCAGTTCTTGCTGGCTGAAAAAGTGAGGAAGCAGTGACAGTTAAGATGACCATGCCAAGTGATTTGGAGCTTACGCATATACAGCTAAGTCTGATTGCCAACAAACCCATATAAAATAAGTTCAGCTAGAGAATGAACAGTTCTGTTATATAGTGCTGTGACAGCTATGCAGAGTTATGCTTGAAGAAAAAGGACTTACTGGGCGTTAAATGGCACAATGGACGAGATGAACTGTACTTACCTAATTGTATCCCCTGCACATTTGGAGATAAATCCCACAGATTGCAGTTGAAAGCTGCTTTTCAGAACTTAGCATTTTCATGTTGGGAACAAGATTAAATCAATGTGTAATTGCATTACTCTTTTCTTATTTTACAGCTTTGCAACAACTTTATTGGGGGCTGGATAAAATCTAAGTCAATACCTACTATGATAAAGCAAAGAGATCACTCAGACGAAGATATATATTTGAAAATAATATATGAGCAAAGAGCATAAGAAATGTATTAATATACACTACTGATACCCTATCCTATCTCTATTGCCTGTCCTCTTAATCGATAGCGCTGTATTTTTATTGATTTTATAGCAGAGGTAATCGGTTCGGTAATAAATATCAACAGTATTAGCTCTTGCTGCCAAACATTGCCAGAAAAAAGCTGAGTAGTAACCCAGTTGGACCTCTCGGCAGCAAACCAGCCAAAGCTGCCTGGGAAAGGTCAGAAGAGCACCAAATACCACCCCAAGCTGCACAGAATCTGACATGAAGAATAGCACAGGATTGTGATTCAGGGCTGAAAAGGTACTGTAGGTGAAGGAGAATGTGAATATTTGGAAAATGTATAGTCTAGAGCAAAACCAGCACAGAAAATGTGCGCAGGAGGAGTTCACTCTGCAGAGCAGAATGAGTATTTGATGCTGGTAAGCATGTATGCACATGTGTGTGTGTTATGTGTGTTCATGATTCTGTGGAAGGACAGAGGAAGGGAACAAAAGCCAATACAGGCTATGGACAGAGGAAGGACAGGTTTTAGTTATGTGCTTTTTTGAAATAAAACATGTATTTCCAGCTGCAGCAGTTGTAATCATTTGGTCCTTCTTTGTGCCTATCCAAGGCATTGTCTCCTACGAGAAATGCTGATCCAAGAGAGTGATAAAACGTAGAAATAACACAACTGGGATGAAGAGGGAGGGGAAGCTTAGGTGCACTTAATGCCTCTCAACTTTCATCTCTCTTCAGCTGAATACAACATCAGTAGGATGCAACAGTGGCCAAATGCTAGTCAGTGATGCAGTGATGGCAAAGCTAAATAGATCATACAAGCAAATACCAGTATATTTATGAGAACTATTTTACAGTGACTTAATTATTGCTCCAGCTTTAGGGACCAGTCACTCAAAAGGGAACATTGCTGTTGTGGAATGAAGTCGTTTCTGTAACAGGCTATCATCTGTCCTTTTAATGCTGTCTGAGAAACTCATCTTTAGTCCACATTTGAGTAGGAAAACAGCTGTGGCAGCAGTGTGGTTTATATTGGCAAGCAGTTACTTCGTAATGTTGATGAGGGTAGAGGTTAAAATCGAAACATCTATTCAAATTCCAGCCATCTATTACAAGGCAGAATTTATTGCTCCTATATACTGTGAAATTTGGGTTGGCAGAAATCACAAAAAAAAAAAAAATCAAACACTACTATAAAGATGTGCCAGCTCTCCTATAAGGAGAGAAGTATCATTTGTGGAAGACAGATCTACCAGAAGGCATAGTAAAATTGGTGGAAAAGTTACTTAAGCTGCCAGTTATAAAACAGCTACCTTCTGTCTGGAACTGCCTATGCCAGAAATGGCATACCAGGAAAGACATCCCTAGAAAAGGAAACTTTTTTAGAAAGGACCAAAAAAATTGCAGAGGAAGTGCTCATGAGGAAAGGGCTGCTTCAGTTGTGCTTCTCATATGCCTCTGCTGTAAAAAAAAAAAAAAAAAAAATCATAATTGCCCAGTCAGAGCAGAGAGAGGCCTACCGTTAGGAAGAAGGGGGAGTAGCACCCTGCATTCACAGGGTACCAGTGTGTTATGTGCTGATGGCACCCATGGAGGGGGAACAGTCCAGAATCTGCTCCATGTTTTTTTCTTCCCCAGAAGTGGATCTGCACCTGAAAAGGCCTTAAAAGAACAAAAAGCCTCAGGTTAGGAACAGGCTAACAGAGCCATTTCAACACCCATTCTCACAGCATCCTACCTGCAAACACTATTGTCTTCTTTAATTCATTATACACCTTGTTTTCCACAGGATCCCTGCATCAGTCTTCTTCTCTGGGTAATGTGTGCTCCTAAATGCAAGTCAAGCAGGAACACTGAAAATAAAAAGATCCTTCTCATCACTAATTTTATTTTCTGATCTGAACGTCATATTTTTTTTCTTCTTTTTTGTTTAAAACAAAAATCTGGTGAGTATTAGAGTGTTTCACTGCCATTAATAAACTTTAGTTCTACTCATGTGAGATAAGAGACTCCTTTTTTCCAGATAAGACAATTGAGACTGAGAAGGAAATTGATTATCTATTAATTTTAGTGCCCAGTCTGAGACACACAACCTGACTTTTCAAGGAACTTAGCATTATTAAGCCCTTTGTGTATTTGTCCATACAGTATCATGAGGTAGGACCTCTCAGAAGGTTAATTGGTCCACGGTTAAAAATGAAGCTACACACTGTTGTCGTAATGGCATTGTACATTAATATTTAAGGTATGCATCCCACTTATTTCAGCGCACATCGATATTTAAAGTATGTATCCCACAAACTCCAGTTGCAACAGTGAGTGCTCAGCACTTCTGCAAAGCTAATATCCAATTTGCAAGCCAACCAGCTGGAAAATGAGAAGAACTCAACTGGTGAATGCTTGCAAAATGCACCTTTGAGTGATGTACCTAGCATCATGCAGAAACACTTGTGGTGGATATTGTCCTTTTCCTTCCTGAAGTCTGCTCTGTTTGTGATATACTTTTCAACAGATGCAGAAAGAAAGTCTGGCGTTTTGTAGACATAACTGTATATCACTTCTTTACTCAGAGGAGATCCATCCTGCACAATTTAAAGGGCAAACTGTCTATGGAAAATGGTTCTGATTGAGTAATTTAAGACTGCAGTGAAACATATGGATAATGAGTGGATAAAAGTTGCACCCCTCATCCCCCTGAGACACTCAGTAAGGGAAGATTATGCTGACACCCAACCATGTCTTCCCATAAGCTTACATATCATCAGCAACAAGCCACCTCTAATGACAGACACCCTTACCTCCTAGTGCCACACCAGCAGAACACTTTGCTGGTGGGGACTCTGCTAGGTGTTGGATCATGGATGAGGACATCTTGACTGTCACAGGAGTCATTGCTATTTCCTTTTAATACCTGTTCATTCTGCATATCAACTAATTGGGAAAAGGTTGGTGCCAAGAGCTCAATTTGTTTACATCCTGTGCGGAATATCTAATGACGTTGGAAGTCCTGCCCTTTTGAGGACAGCAAACAGCAGACAGTGGTGGCTTGTTATGATGCAAAAGATTTTACTGTGAAATTTCTTCCTCAGCATCCAGAGTAAGGCACAAAATAGTTCATAGTTGGGAGAAGCTTTTTGCTCCAAGCATCTCACAGACGTATTTACCACATGACCAGTAATTTCAGAGGAAAACAGTGAGAACAAAACCTGGGGTATGCTAAAAAAAAATACACACATAGAACTCTGATTTTGTGAATAATAGTAGAATAGATCCCATACAATGAATTGCTAGAGATCCTAGCCTCAGATTTCATATTATGTAAAGAGATGAACCTCTGTTGAAATAAATATGGCTTGTTAGAAGGAGAGAGATGAATACTAGAATTTCAGCAGAGCTGAAAGTCACATCACAGAAACTCACCTAATGTAGAAGAGAATTAAGCAACACCTGTAGATTAGTTTAATCAGATGCAGGAGGTAATAACACTTTGAGATCTTTGGCTTGAAAATCAAGTTAAGCATTGGTAAGTTTTTTGAAAGGAATCTCATTTTTGACTGGAGTTCAGTGGTAGCATTTTTAAATAGATGCAAGTAAGTAGCTTAAGAAGACACGCTGTTATTTCATATTTATCAGATTCTGTGGCTTCAGTTAATCCGAGGGAGATGTATTCAAGAAAACCGCTGTAAACTTCATTACATGAAGCAAGTAGTATTTGATCTGTGAAGAAACTAGTGAAGCCCTAAGAAGGCTTTATTGACCACTAAACACAAAATCTTTAAATGAAGACTTTTGGTTTTGAGTTTTAGTTTTGAGGCTTTTGTTGTTAAAGAAAGATATGACAGCAAGCTGTGAAAACAAGACCAAGGTTAATTAGCAGTATTCAGAAGGTTTCATGGTAGTGTAAAAAAAAAATCCCTCAAAATCTAATCAGGTTTTTCTTTTTCATAAATCACAGCTGATCTCACTCTGTGAAAATGTTACAAATCTTGCACATGGAGAAGTATCATGGCCAGAGGATTTCCAGATGTTTTTCTGGTCTTCATCAGTTATTTCCAAAATACAGAAATGACTTGTTTACTAGGTTGCAAAACTGTTTTTGTCTGTACTGTACACATCTTTAGCACTGATCAACACAAAACCAGCAGACGTTAAACAAAATTGTACTCAAGAAATTGCAATAGGACCAAGAGATCACAGCTTTCTGGGGATCTTCAGCATTTATTTTCTGAGCAGATGACTGTCAGGTGACTTCTGGCCCCTGGACTATCCTCATCAAGCCGAAAAGCATGGGCACTGCTGATGGCCACAGATTTGAGCTCTGTGGAGCTCACACAGCTCTGCAGTTTTATATATTACTTCTTGCTATCAGTGGAGTGATTCCCATTAGATTTATTGGTCACTGGCTCAAGCCCCAGGGGCTTATAACTCTAGCCTCAGGAAGACTTCTCTTGGGCTTGCTTTTCTCTTCACTGACACTGTAACTGTGACTGTAACTATAGTTGGTTTCTGGAGGAGTGCAAGGAGTTGCCGCACGTAAAGATCTGAGAGAGTTGTTTAATGTAGCCCTGAAAAAGCCTGCTGAGGGGTGGACGACAGCATCTATGTCAAGCCAGAGAGCACTACTGAAATGTGGCTAATTTGTGTGTTGTTAGAACTAGAAGATTTTTTGTAAAAAAGAACTGTATTACAGTATTTTCCCCATACAGTACAGTGTATTAAGAAAAGGGAATGGGATTGCAACCAGGAAGCAAATTCCAAACAAATCTGTTCTAATGCAGTGGGATCTTTAATGGACAGGGTAATTAGTACTTTAAGCTGATATTCAGTCAAAAGATATATTTTTGGCTCAGTGGCCCCTAGAAAGAGGAACTGGAACTCAGAATAATCAGTGCTTTCCACTAAATCACTACTTCTTGTGGCACTTCAGGAGGCCATAGGTGAGCCAGAATTTTCCCCGCTTTGTATTTGAGATCTTGTTTTGGAAGGGTTGCAGACTACCAACAGATTGAACTATTTCTACTGTAATGTTTTTTCCAAATGGTCACAGAAGAAACTTTGGATACAAAAGTCTAGATAAAAGGAAATGATGAATCATGCACAAAAGATAAGGAAAAATAAGTCATTGTTGCATTGACTTTAAAAAGCGAAGAAGGTAGAGATTTGCCTGCACTAGGAATCAGATTACCAAGGTAGTAAAATGAGGAATTAGGAACAGAATAGATAACAGTTGAATAGGTTATTGAAAGATTACAGAGTCTAGAAACTGATATAATAAAACAATGTGTACGTGACCTATATTTCAGACCTCTAAAGCAAACTAGGAAAATGTGAAAGAAACCTTTTGTGGATGCACAGAGTATTGAATTATTTGACAAAATAAAATTCTGAAAAATTATGAATTTGACTGAAAAAACTTTTCATTCCAGGAATAAAAGTTCTAAATATAATCTTTAGACTATGAATGAGAGAATTTTGATTACTTCAGGAGGCATACTCACAATGCTCAATAGACATAGGCAAACATTAATTGGTCATATATGGACACATGCACATGTACACATATAACTGCGTGCTATTATTTATAGCCTTCAAGAAAATTGCTTTCTATGAAGCCTTAATTAAAAAAAATCATTCTCTCAGATTTATTATGAGCCCTGATATACACAACATTTTTCTTAAAGCCCAGGTTCTAGAGTAAAAATATTGCATGAAATAACAGCAGAAATGGAAAAAACAAAAACAAAACCAAAACCATAAAAAACCCCAAAGTTTTTAACCCTCTTGGCTATAAGCAAAAAGTTGAAAGCATGAAAGAAATGCAGAGTAAATGCTCAGAATGACAAAATGATCCTCTTTAAATAAAAATCTCATCAGTTCTAATATGATTATTTTTGCAGGACTTGCCCTAATTTTTTTTTTTTTTTTTTTAAAAACCTTTTAAGATTAGTTAGAGTGCAATCTATTCACCCCTAGAGCCATTTTGATGACATAAAATGCAAACAAGATTAAAGTGCCTTTGTGTGTGTGACCCGCTGAGGGCTTGACAGAGTGGTAACTGTTTTGTTCCTGCTCTAGACACGACCTGGCTTACAAGTACTTTTTTCTCCTAAAGAGAAGGGAACACAAAATGATGATGGTCTAGCCAAAGCAGGTTGAGTAGTCTTTCTGACTAGAAGGGTTTTGAAAACATCAGTGTCTACAGGCAGATTTGTTCTATTGCTACACTGGCAGTAACCACAGACAATCTATATCCACCTTTAGTACATTCTCTCTAGATACTGACTAAAATATAGACATTAAAGTAAAATCTTTGTATTTTAGCTTTTTAGTATAAGGAATTTATTTGCCTGGCAAATGTTCTGCCTGATGGAGTTGAGTAAAAATGAATTATTTGGCTGTCTGATGAGTCTAAAATTCTTGAAAAAAATGGTTTTACTGAATATTTTTTCTATTTCTAAAATTTCAGCATGTAAAAGGATTTTGAATATAAGCCTGAATACTTCTTTAGAAAACACTGAAATGAATAACTTTTCAGAGATCCCCCTTCCCCTCCTATGAACAGTTTGAGAAATGGACCCGAATTTCAGAAAAAAATTGTCACCAGGTTTGTCTTTTTAATTCAGAAATATTCCTTCAGATTTTTCATCCCGCTGTAGTGTCTA